GCTGTGCTAACGGCACTGGCTCCAGGGAGCGTCCCGAGTTAGCGGAGGATGCGGTGAGGCCAGAGGTGCGAGAGTAATGGAGCTGCTTCCTTAGTGCTCCGTAGGGGCGGCGGGGCTACCAAGTCTGTATGTATGTCCGAAATCTCTGCACAAGAGAGCTCAGTGGCGCGTCTGTGTCATGAGAAGGAACTGGGAGGAAAAACGGTCCAAAAAGCAGTTTTCTTGAACGTGAGGCAGGCTGGGAGGGCGAACTCGGGGCCACCTGGGAAGAACAAGCCTCCCTTCTGGTACACTCCTGCCTTTTCAGTGGATAAGGAGGTCCTGGGATGAGACGGTAGTGAGGAAACAGCAAAACGAGAGGTTTAGCCCTGAAGTGTGGAGGGAAGTGGTAAACGCTGGCACGTGGGACCTGGGGGAGACCAAAGCAGTGGGTTAGGCCGGTAATCTTAACGGTGCTTCGGGTGGGTGTGATGAGGCAGGCCAGGTGATGGAAAAGCCAGAAGCAAAGCTGAAATAATGGAACAAGAAAGGTTTGGGTGGGAATTCAGGGATATGAAGAGAAAGGGAGAATGCTTTGAAGAAGAAAAAGTGGTGCTTGGATGGAGTATTGAAGAAGGTTTGCCTTTTAAACAAAGTGCAGGTTAAATTACTGTGAAGAGTTTGAACTTTGAGAGAAGAAGAGGGGCTTGAGACAGCATAAGAAAGGGAATTGTGTTTCTCCGTAAGGGTCTCTGAAGGGAATCGCACAGAAAGCCTGTGTGGTGGGGTCTTGGAGAATGACCAAGGGCAGAAAGCTTGTGAGGGGTTAATTTTCATAATGCGCTGAGGTTTTCTCCTTTTCTCGGATTCTTAACAATGTCTGCAATCCTGTTTGCTTTTCTGACTCGTTTCAGATTGCAGCAAGGAGCTACGTGAACAGTTAATGGGGAGGAGTGCTGTGTTACGTTATTAGTGTGAGAACTTTCTGTTTTAATCCAGATCGTTTAAGCTCTCTCATAGTCTTTTAGCTAATACGGTTCAATGGGTTAAGTAGATTTTGGGGCACGCTGCTATTGTAAAGCTGTCGGACTACGTTACTGTTCCTCTCAGTTTGTCAAAGCCCGGTGTTGGGCTGTGCAACTGGCAAGGCCAGGTACAGAACACTGTGTGAATTGCTCTCCTCTTATATTTTGCCAGGGTTGGCTGGCTTGTCTCCCAAATTGTCTTGACACTGACAATTCCCAGTATTGTCACAACGCTTTACTCTTGCTTCTGTGATGCAAATTCCACAAAAAATGCTTTGAACAGGGTGTCCTGCTTTTGAAAGGAACAGAGAAGTGGGAATTTCTTTCTCATACCCAAAATAAACAGAAGTACTCCCTTATTAGTGGGCATAACAGGCATGTCAGGTTCGTGGTTGGTTTTGTTCTTCCTCACCTTTTGTCCAAGAATAGTTTAAGAGAACAATCTTGCTAGTTATAAAGGCAATTACAGATGTTGGCACTAAGCAGCCATGGATAATAGAGCCTTAGAGCCCAACTTTTTCATTTTAGGATGCATTTATCAGTCTATATTCAGCATTATAGTGCTGTATATATATGAAGCTCGCCTGGCATTCCTCTTGACAAATGTAGCTATTGTTAATCATACAAGCAAGAAAAGTTTGTATTTGAAACGTAATGTGAGACTTCATTATGGCAAGAATGCAAGCCCTTAAGGTTTTTAGTTTTGTTGGGAAGGAAAGCTTGTCTTTTGGTTTGGAAAGGCTTTTAGGATAGCCAGTGCTACGACAACTTAAGTGCTCTGTAATGGATCTCAGTGCTGTGTTTCTGAGGCTTCCTTTTCGATAGTGAGGAGAGGGAATGATCTGTCTGAAATAACATCAGTGCCTCTAGAATCCTTAGGCCGGCAGTCTGAGATTAATGAGGTAGAATGATTTACGGGTGACTGTGCTGCGTGTTTCCTGATTTGCTGGGCAGTTAGTATTACCTTATTGACCATTCCTCGGGGAATCTGCTAATAGTATATGAGCTGACATTTTTGGAATGGATCCAGTCATCCTTGAGAATGCAGTTGTCACAGAAGTATAATATTGACAGTGGAATGATAAGTGGGAGTTCTGGGTATGTATATAATGCGTGAACAAAGGGAATTTTAGTTCTTCATTCAGTCTTCAATCACCTCTCATCACTTTACGTTTCTTAATTCTAAAGAATGCATGTCTTTGTTTCCTGCTTTCTCGTGTCCTGGAAATTACGTTTGCTGCGGCTGCAGTTTAAAATGGATGAACTTCAGGGTGCTGGTCAAGATGCCTCATGGATCTTCAGTGTTAGCGCATTTGTTGGCTGTGGAACCAGTTGCTGATCCTGTTTTCTGCGGTCTGCTTGAGGAGCATCATTTTGCTGTAGTGTGATAATAAAATACAAGGATTTTAATTCAAATGTCCCAAATCTGCAGGAACCTAACCAGCATATAATGATTTGCAGGTTGTAGAGTATGTTTCATTTTAAAAGCTTGCTTTTTAAAAAAATGTAATTGTTAATACTCTCTGGTTAGATTTCTGTAACATCCACTGAGTTATGGAATAAGTAATTTGCTGCAGGCAGTTTGGCAGGTTAATTGTGGGGTCAGGAATCTCTTGTTCAGAACTACTGGGAAACATCTGCCCAAAGATAGCATCTTCGCGTCTGCTGTTTCGGGGTATTGTTTTGTAACATCTGCCCAAAGATAGCATCTTCACGTCTGCTGATTGTTTTGGGTATTGTTTTGTTTTTTAATGTGGTTGAAATCCATAATAATAATAGACTTTGAAACATAACAGTGTCAGCTGCTGTGACGTAGTGATACGCATTTTAATAACAGAACATCTTAGAAGTCTTTACCAATGCCACTGTTTTACTCATTGGCTTTACCAAACAGAGACTCTGGGTTTAATTAATAGGTCTCTAGTGTTTTACCCATTTTTCAGCATCATAGTTTACAGCTTGGAAACTCTTTTTGTAAGAAGTAAACTGTTTTAAACATAACCGGGCTCAGATTTAGTGTGAGGTGTATCACCCTGCCCTTCTGCCTTGTAACTGTTTTTAACTTAGTATAAGTAACTGGTGAGTAAGAATCAACTTACTGGTGACCTAGGTTTCAAAAGGAACCGGGCTTTGGATTGTCCTTCTACTCAGCTAATGCTGTGGTTCATAAAACAAGCTGTATAGAATACTGCTGAGTAGATGTAGTGTGATGATGTGATACGTAGTATCAGAGCTAATTAACTCCCACCAAGCACACACACGTGAGACCTTGCTCGCGTTCCTGAGACATAAAGGTATGCCAGCAGCTGGTGGTCAGGGAAAGAAGAATGCAGTAATAAGAAAACTGTATTTCTGTTCTGGACCTACAACAGAACTGCAGAAGGTTAAAGGATATCAATTATTATTTGAACTCTGTGAAGCACGTTTTTAACTGGAACTGGTTTGTGTGAGGCTGTATTCCACCTCCTTCCTCTTATCTAATCATAGAATCACAGAACGGTTTGGGTTGGAGGGGACCTTAAAGACCATCTAGTTCCAACCGCCCTGCCATGGGCAGGGACACCTTCCACTAGACCAGGTTGCTCAAAGCCTCATCCAGCCTGGCCTTGAACACTCCCAGGGATAGGACATCCACAGCTTCTCTGGGCAACATGAACTGGTGGCAATTCACTTTCGGAGGTAATTGCAGTGTTTCTGGCCACTTTTGTACTCAGTGTCGATTTCTTTTCCCAGATAACCTCTTGGGAATTTCCTGGGTTGACAGCTCCTGGATTCCAATATTAAACAATGGGAGCGTGTTGGACTACTTCTCAGAGCGAAGTAACCCATTCTATGACCGAACATGTAACAACGAAGTCGTCAAAATGCAGCGGATGACCTTGGACCATTTGAAGTAAGCTGTGGTTTGGAACTGCTACCTGTGCAGTGTCCTTTGTCCCTCCACGCAGAGGCTTTGATGGTTGCAGAGAAGCGTGCTGGAAACATCCTTCTGTTCTGTGCTTTTTAGTCCCACCGCTTGCTGGGAGCCCAGCTTCTTTTTTGTATTCAGGTGGCTTCTACTTCCTCTGATGCCATTTCAGGGAGGTGTTAGGCATTCTGTGTATATCCTGAAATACCAGTAAATTAGATATTTCTCTGAATTTAGAAAAGCTGTCTTCTCTCATCCTCTCAGCTCAACAGAACCCAACTAATGGTAAATGTAGTTAAATGTTTTTCTGTGGTGAATGGGGTTTATGTTAGGGGATACTTTGAGCTCATAAACAGTTTGTGTTTCAATATCCTGCTGGTTGTGTGCCAAAACTAGTACATGATTCCTCCAAAGAGCTGGCTTTTTAGTATGGATAATAAAAGTCGTGAGCGTTGTAAATAAACTGATCACAGATGGTTGTGTAATGAGATTGCAGCATGCGCAAGTTAACTTTCTTTGCAGTTCTCCATCTGCTACACTGAGCACAAGTGAGGTGTTTGAGGACTATTTAAAGACTCCGCAGTAGGATGGGGAGTGTGCAGGCTGAGCTGAAAGTTCACTGGTAAAGTCGCTTGTGCTCGGATGTGGTAGCAGAGGGGCTTTCACATCAGACACACAGGTGGTCACGTCATACCGTGGTCCTTTGTTTGTGGGTTTAAACGACATCTCGGTGGTGATAGTTATCTTTCTTGCTATTTATTTGTTTGCTAACACGTTCCACTTAGATGCTGCATCACGTTGTTGTAAACTCCCTTTGCGTACGCAGCTAGGTTTAGATAGCTAGTGCAGGAAATCCTATGGCATCTGTTACTGCACGCTATACAGACGAGCTTCCAAAGCATGAGAACTTCATCCCTTTACTGCCAAGCCCTTTGGTAGCTCTTCGTGTCCTGCAGATTTTACTTTGAGGAAGATACTTACTCTGGTTGCTACTTTTTCAGCCAGATGGTTGGAGTGGAGTACATCCTCCTTCATGCTCAAGAGCCCATTCTCTTCATTATCCGAAAGCAGCAGAGGCAATCTCCATCACAAGGTAAGGTCGGTCGGTTCTTCTCACTGTTGAGAAGGGTGATCAGTTAGTCGCTTTCATCTGTTCCTAATTTGTGTTTAAGCACTTCTGGTTCTCCTTTTCTGTCTTTACCTTAAATCTCAGTAAAAGGGTCTGAGGCTTTGCGGTGGGCTGGAGATATTTTGTCTAGCAGTGACCTTCAGTGTGCTGATAGCAGGGATTGCCATCTTGTGGTGAAACGTGAAGGGTGCATGGAAAAAGTGCTGCCCTGTGGTATAGTTTGCCATGGGAAATCAGTAATGGCGTTCATGCCATGTCGTATTTAGCTGTTAGGCTATGCAGGTGTTTTCATTTTAATTATTTGCATATAAGGCTAATGATATGCTTGCCTTGGTGTTTTGGCTATTCCTCCGAGAACTGGCTGTTCTGGAATTGTGAGGGAATCTTGACAACACCACCATTCCTTCTTACAGTGCCAATGATGACCTTTCCAAGTTTTAAATGAAATAGCTTAGCTTTTTACATTTGCATGCAACTGGCATCATTATTTCTTTTTGACCTTAAATTTGTTTGTTCATCTGTGATTAAAAAAGTAGCCACATTTCAATAATTAGTGGACTGTCTTCTGTGTTTCCTGCATGTATGTGCAAAATAATTCAGGTTGTTTGAGAGTAAGTTCTATAGAAAAGAAAGGCAAGGTTAATGCTAGTTAGTTACTAACTTTTTTTTTTAGTAACTTAGGCTCTGCAACTGCATTTTGGTCTTGTACAAGGCCTTGCCTTGTCTAGCAGTGCTGTTTTTTTGCTGTAATATGCGCCCAGCTGTCTTGGTTTGTTAATTTAGGCGGGTGTTCAGGCTTTATAAGATGCAATTACTGGCTGAATTGCGTCCTGTCGGTAAAAAGGTTCAGACAGAATCTGTTAATGCAGACGGAGGAGCTGAACAAATGTGTGTGCAGGTAGGATCCTTAGGAATGGGAAGCTGATAGCATTGCTGTAGTTTCCCAGTTGAAGAATGTTGGACAGAGTATTATCAAGGCTGTTGAGATGTTCCTCTGCGCTGCACCTCTGATGAACAAGAATTTTTGATGGGTGAGTAGAGGTTCCGAATCTGATTTAGCAAATGCCTTTGGAAGGAAGAAGTCTTTTTTTGACAGAATGTTATTAATTTAGAAAGGTGTGCTCTGTGTGGGCTTAGCTGCCATTGGGTCTGGGAAATCTCGCTAAGAGGACTGCGCAAGTTGGAGAAGGCTGAGGCCAGAAGAATGTCATCTTACGTTGTGGGTTTGTACTGGTACCAAAGGCAAGTGGAACTACTTCCAGTGCAGTTCACTTGAGTCTTCTCGTGTAGCTCTGAAAACCCCAACTCTTCTAAGGTCAATTAGTTGTTTACGGTGGGACAGGACTTAAAGCTGATGCTTTTCTATCTGCAAAGCAGATTTGAGGTTTTTTTTCCCCTTACCAGTTTATGGCTAAGGTGCAGATAAAGTACCTTGAAGAAAAAGGTTAAAAAGAAAATTTGGTGATGAGTTGAATATTGCTATTTCTGCTGCTACTGCTGAAATTCAGCAACAACTAGAGAGTCTTCAGTCAGAGCTTGTAACTTGATCCTGCCTATTTTTTCTCTCCACAGTTATTCCATTGGCTGACTACTATATTATTGCTGGAGTGATATATCAGGCACCTGACTTGGGGTCTGTCATTAACTCCAGAGCTGTAAGTGTTCTGTGTATTTGATATATATCAGTTGGTATCTGCTTTTACTTTGCTTGTTCCCCAGGCTGTTTAAAACCCTCCTTCACTGTTTTGAGGAACAGTCTCATGAAGTATACAGTAACTTAAAAAAAAACCACAACACTGGGTAATATGGTGTGCATCCCACATGGAAATGAAAGATCCTGGGGGAGTCCAGTATGGTCCAAAAAGTAGGATACATTATTGAAGGCTGAAGGATCAGAATAACTGAAGCTACACAGTTGGTGGAACAGCATGAGGTTTGAGTAATCAAAAAAAAAAAAAAAAA